TTCAAAGAGAATGGTCAATTAATTTGTGGAGGTTTTGCTAAAACTATGCAAGAGACTAGTCAGATCATAGCTGGAATACTGTTAACAGAATCCCCAACCCCACTCCCCACCTCCGTGCCCCACCATCCAAAGAAAGATATAACGGCATTGGAGGCAGGCCAGAAAAGGTTCACCAAGTTGGTACCAGGTATGGAGAGACTATCTTATATGGAGAGGATGAGTAAGTTGAACCTGTACTCATTGGAACCAGAAAGAATGAGAAGTGACCTTATAGAGACTTGTAAAATTCTTCGGGGGCTTGGCAAGTTAGATGCGAAAAGGTTGTTTCTCCTTGTGGAGAGTCTAAGAGCAGAGGGCATAATCTCAGAGTTGGGACTTGGCATTGCTGTATCCATGATTAAGATAGATACATTTTTAATCAGTAATGGAACCAAGGGTCAAGGGAAAATGAAGTTGAGGATCATCAGGTCAGCCATGATCTCATTGAATGGTGGAGCAGAATTGATGGGCTCAATGGCTTACTACTGCTTCTACATTAATGGTCTTATTGCATTAAAAGGATAACAAATATTACCATTGAGCTAGGTATGCAGCAGATGCAATTTTTAAATTGTTTAAGTTTAGTTCGGGCATAATTTACTTTCAATGAAGCAATGTTAGAGTTTGCCACTCTGAGCCGTAACGGAGTGAATGTTTTAAGATATTAAATAGATGTCAATAACATTCTCTTGCATTTGAAAGGAAGTGATGCCAACATGCCTGTTTGTTCCAATTGCATAGCGTGTAATTTCAGAGGCACTACAGAAATTCACCAAGGCACCTTAGGTAGCTCCTTCCAAACCCCATGACCACTTTCATCTCAAAGAGCGAAGAGCTGCAGCACCTATAACGTTCCCTCCAAGCCACTCATCATCCTGACTTGGAAATATATCACTGTTCCTTCAGTGTCACTGGATCAAAATCTTGGAAATCCCTCCCTTATGGCATTGTAGGTGTACTTACAGAAAATAGACTGCAGCAGTTCAAGAAGGCAGTTCAGTGCCACCTTTTCAAAGGGCCATAAATGCAACTGTCACATCCCATCAATGAATAAAAATGGAAAAAAAGTGTAAACAATCAATTCCACAGGCACTACTCGAAGAAAATATTCTTATGATGCCTTGGTTAAATACACCCGACACCGCTATAATGAAAAACATCATGGCAAAAAAAAAAATCATTATTGCTTGTTGTTTTCCCCTTGGACTGATTTCCCTTTCTTTCTAATTTAACCAGCTGCACATCATAGATCCAACATCCAATTTGCACCCCATGGATTGTGAGCTAGTTTTAATCCACTGACAACTCTCTGTAAAACTGATAGTAAGGCACATCCTTCTAAATGATTGAGGCTTCCCAAACACAGTCTCACTTGACCTCCCCCTCACTTGTTGAATGGAGCGCAGTGTAAGATATGCCGCTCTGACATGAGTCTCCAAGCTTTATCCACTGCACCTTCACATTATAATCTAAAGTCAGTCAACCATAGCTTCTCTGAAAACTTAATTGTGAGGTATCAATGTCATGCTGGCTTCTGCTAAAGCATTTGTTTCTGAAGACTGTAAACGAAGCCTCTTTAAACTCTCATTAGTAAAAATTCTAGTCCTTTATATGTCCAATACGTCAGACCTGTGCCAATCATATTCTGTTGGCTCCAAAGTATTGGGGACCCAACTGGACATCTGTTCCTATGAAGCTCAACTGCCTTAAACAGCAGAGAGATTATTTGTTGGAAATGAGCCAAAGAATGTCTTAACTGTTGCAAGATGAGGCAGACACTGTTCGACATGTATAATTGTGAGAAAATAAATGGAGGCGGTTCAGTGGGATTCAATTTCATGAGCGATGGAATCTTGAGAGCTCATGGACAATTATACCAACTGCTTCCTGCGTTCCGCCTCTCTTGACAACCCACAATGAATCCTTTGCTCATGATTTAAAGTTTGCGTTGCATATAGATAGGATGGTTAAAAAAAAGTTTGCACACTTGCCTTCATTGGTCAGTCCTTTGAGTATATGAGTTGGGATGTTATGTTGAGGTTGTACAGGACATTGATGAGGGCTCTTCTGGAATACTGCATCCAGTTCTGGTTGCCCTGTTATGGGAAGGATATTATTAAGGTGGAGATGGTTCAGATGAGATTTACCAGGATGTTGCTGGGTCTGGAAGGTTTGAGTTATAAGGAAAGCCTGGATAGGCTGGGACTTTTACTCACTGGAGTGTAGGAGGCTGAGAGGTGACCTGATAGAAGTTTATAAAATAATGAGAGGTATGGATAGAGTTGATGGTAGTTGCCTTTTCCCTAAGATAGGAATTTCAAGATTCAGGGACACATTTTTAAGGTCCGAGGAGAGAGGTTTAAAAAAGACATGAGAGGGAATTTTTTTACACAGAGGGAGGTTCGCATGTGGAATGAACTTCCTGAGGAAGAGGTGGATGTGGGTACAATTACAACGTTTAAAAGACATTTGGTTGGATGTATGAATAGGAAAGGTTTGGAAAGTTTTGGACCAGGAGCAGGCAGGTGGGACTAGTTTTGTTTGGGATTATGTTCCGCATGGACTGATTGGACCGAAGGGTTTGTTTCCATGCTGTATGACTCTGTGATTGAGATGAAAGTAACAAATGTCTAGGGGCAGGCTATTTCATGGTCATCGTTCCTCTCTCAAGGAGTCTTTGTGCATGTGCCCTCCACATTTCCATTTCTTGCACAGAGTGTTGCATGAAGCAGACCACATGTAGGCTTTTGAGAAAAATACATGGATCGATGGCTGTATGCAATTCTCAGCATCTGTGCAGGCTTGCAGTCCCTTTTCTGTTGTCTGAATAGTCTGCTTTAGTCCCATCGTGTAACCCAGCCTTCCATCCACTGCTTCCATCTATCCTTCTTGCTGCCTCGGGAAAGCAACCAACATCATCAAAGAACCCTCCCACCCCAGTTATACTCTCTTCCACTCTCTTACATCGGGCAGAAGATATAAAAGTTGGTATGCATGGACCAGGAGATTCAAAAATAGCTTCCTTCCTGTTGTTATTAGATTTCTGACTGGACTTCTCAAATGTTAATGTTAATATTGATCTCCCTCTCTGTGCACCTTCTCTGCGGCTGTAACATTGTGTTCCTCACTCTGTTCTATTATCCCTATGCATTTTGTATGGTACGACCTGCCTGTATTGCACGCAGAACAAAATTTTTCACTGTGCCTTGGTGCATGTGACAATGAAACAAATCCAATCAAATCCCAGTCTGATCTTGAGCCACTCTTTGGAGAAGGAGGCAGCCAGCATCAACTCTCTCCATCACTGATACTCAGTAGCAGCAGTGTGTACAATCTACATGGTTTATTGTAGGAGCTCACCAGTGATCCTTTAGACAGCACTTTCCAAACCCACCACCACTTCCATCTAAAAGGACAGGGACAGCAGATGTTTGGGAACACCACTCCCTGCAAGTTCCCCTCCAAGCCACACACCATCCTGACTTGGAATATATCTCTGCTCCTTCATTGTTGCTGGATTGGAATCCTGAAATTTCCTCCCTGATAGCTTTGTGGGTCAACCCACATCACGTGGACTATAGTGGTTCAAGAAGGCAGCTCACCACCACCTTCTCAAGGGCAACTAGTAATGAGCAATAAATGCTGGCCCAGCTAGTGATGCCCACATCCTACATGTGAATGGAAAATAAAGACAAGTCTGAGAATCACTACTAGGACTGGCAAACATACTCATCAACAGGGCTACACCCAGTTGAGTGAGTGCTCGGACCCAATGGTAGGTTGCCTGTCTTATATCCATGTCCACGCATTGCTGGAATGCGAATGCTGGCTGTTACTGGTATGCTGAAGGCACCAGAGTGGAGTGAGTAGTTCATGCGCAGTACCAAGGGAGTGCTGCATTGTTGGAGTTGCTGTCTTTTGGATATATTAAAGCGTTATCGCATTTGTCCTTTGAGGTGGAAAATAAAAAAAAATCCCACAGCAACATTTGATGAAGATCAGGAGAGTTTAGCTATCAGAAATAACTCTGCTAAATTGGGATAGCTTTCTTTAGAATGGAGGAGACTAAGTTAACTGAAGCCTATAAAATTGTAAGGGTCCAGGATAGGATTTTTCCTATTCAGTCTATTTTAGCAGCCAGCTAAGATAAATTTTGGTTGACTCGAAATGTTAGCTCTGCTGTCTTCCCATAGATGCTGCCAGGCCTACTGAATTCTTCCAGCAATTTCTGGGTATTTTTTTGTTTTATATTTCAAAATAATTGGTAGAAGGATTACACGGGAGTTGAGGAAATCGTGCATGCAGAGTGGTAGGGATTTGAAGTTTACTCGTAAGTGGACATTGAAGGAAAAAAGCACACTTCACATTCCGAGTTGTTGGTTACACGCTGGAATTGCCAGAATGTAAAAAGCAACACGTTTAGAATTCAAAACGGAGATTAGCCTGGATAACTCTTTCTTTTCCGGCAAGCATGTTTACAATGGGCCAAATGGTCTCTTTCTGTATCACTCTCTGGAGTGGGACCAAAGCTCACAGCTTCCATGACTCAGCAGCAAAAGTACTATCCATTTGAGTCAGATTGATACCTTTCAACACATTGCACCTTGTAGAGTTGTGCAATTGTGTAATACCAGCATGTCTGCACTCCAAAGATAATTCATCATATGAAGACAATTCAATGTGATAAGGCGCTATATATAAATGTAAGTATCTCTCAGGTCTGTTTGCTCAGCATTCATTTCTGACTCAGCCATTTGAGATTAAATATTTCCTTCGGAATAGTAATCTATGCCATCACTTAATGACTACTGTGTCAATGTGTCATATCTTTTATTACAGCACCATTCAACAGAGAATTTTATGTCCCATTTTTATTAACGCCAATTTGAAACATAAATCTTTCATCTTGTGTTTCCTCTGTCACTTTCTCCCTAACTTTTTATTTTACATTTTTTTTCCAGCCGTGTGGAATTTCAAAGGGACTCATGAGCATCATATCCCTCTCCAAATCGGAGATACAGTCAATATCCTCCAAGCTTGTGAAGGTGAGTGTGCACTCATTACAAAGATCAGGTTTGTGTCAGACTCGGTGCTGGGGTTTCTAGTGTAATGTACTTCGCAGCAAACAAGCAGCTAAGTGAGAGCACCCAGCTAAGTGAAGCTTTCTTGGTGTTTCCTGAATGTTATGAAACAATTCAGTCAGGTTGAGCACAAAGGAATTAAGTTCAAAGTCTTTACAGGGCAAGACAGTGTATTCATGTAAGGTTGCCTCTGAAAATGTTTAGGTTGACATTTAAGGGCAGAAATGGTATCCTGAGGGGGAATTGAGGTTGTTGCTGTTTTGTTTAATGCTATAAGAGATTCAAATACAATGGAATTATCTCATAGAATACTATAGTCCATTCAACCAGTCAAGACAGTGCAGGCTCTTTTGGACAACAGGAAAGTTAATGCCATCCTATATCCTGCAATTCTTCTTCCTTCAGGCATTTATCCAGTTCCCTTTGGAAGTCCACTATTTAATTTAGTTCAACAAACATATCACACCTCCCATCTTGGTCTATTCCTGAGGTTCGAGGCACTGCAGAAGATAGCATTCAGCCAATATAGAGTCACAGAGTCATAACTGCACAGAAACAGACCCTTTGGTTCAACTCGGCCAAGTTTCCCAAACTAACCTTATCCCACTTGGCCCATGTCCTTCTAAATCTTCTCCATTCATGTACCTGTCAAAATGTTTTAACCATACTTGCATTTAACACTTCATCTGGCACATGTAATATCAAGAAATGCTTGAAGGCAGTGGGCATTGTAAAGTGTATAGGCTTGACCGATATTCTGGCAGTAGTACTGAAGACTTGTGCTCCCGAATTAGCTATGTCCCCTACTAAGTTGTTCCAGTAGGTCTATAGCACCGACACCTGCTTAACAGTATAGAGAATTATTCCGGTATATCCTGTCCACAAAACACATGACATATTCAATTCTGCAAATAAATGTTCTATTCTTGATTAACAGCTAAATGATAGAATGTATGGTTGACTGTCCTATCAATATCTCTTTGCAATAATCTGCTCATTGACACTTCCTGTGATTATACCTTTGAAGTCTGCAGCCTGTACCACCTCTAACGATAAGATCAGATATATTGGAACACTGCCATCTGCAAGTTCTCACATTCATGTCACACATTGTGCTAACTTGCAAGTAATGTTGCCATCCCTTCATTGTCACGGGGTCAAGATTCTGGGACTCCCTCTCTAACTGCACTGTGAGTCTAACTCTACAACATGGACTGCAGTGTTTCAAGAAGGCAGCTCACCACTATCTTCAAAAAGGTATTTGGGGATGGACAATAAAGTCCAACTTAGTCAGTGAAGTTCACAGCCTGTGAAAAAAAAAATAAGAAAAAATCCGACAAATCAGCACTATTTGTTCCAAATTGAGGCTTCTCTTCCTTCTCCTTTTGCCAATTGGTTCTACTCTTCAATGAACCTTTAAACATTGGGATCTTTTCCTTTTTTTACTCAATATGATTTTTCCTGATTTTTGCAGCTTTAACAAATCTTCTTCTAGCCTTTATACTCCAACTCTACTTTCCTCAGTCTATCTGTGTAACTGAAATCGCTTGTCTCTGGAATGATTCTAGTAAATCTTTTCTGTATCTTCTACCAAGGCTTCTTATCCTTCCTAAACTCTGGTTCTCAGAATTGCACAGACACTGTTCCAGCCAGGGAGAAGCTAATATTTGTATCTGGACATCACCTGATTTCCTAGCCTCTATGTTTTATGTCAGACTCAATTATAACTTAGTGCAAGTGGATGGATTTTGAGTCGGTTAAAATAGAGGCCAGGATGATGTATCTAATTTGTAAAGCCCAGCAGTCCATTTGCTTTATTAACTGTGATTGCTAACTTGTTCTGTTGCCTTCAATTATCTCTGCATAAACATCCCGAGGTCTCTTTGTTCTTGCACACTTGTGGTATTTTCTAATCAATCTGTTCATTGATGTGACTACACACCTCTGGAGCAAGTGAGACTTGGATCTGGCCCTTCTGGCTCAGAAACAGGGACATTGCCACTATGCCCCCAGACCTTTATGATGTTTAATCACATCATGTTTTTCATGTTAAATCTCATCTATCTTGTACCTGGACATTCTACTAATGCTGTTTGTGTTCTTTTGAAGCCTATTTTCTCTTCCTCACTGTTTATTACGTTTTATTATCTGAATGGTGGCAGTTTAGGAAAGTGTGAGGCGCAAGGAGTGGAACAGTCGCTGAAGGTTGGCATGCGGGTTCAGCAGGCAGTGAGAAAAGCTAATGGCATGCTGGCCTTCATAGTGAACGGATTTGAGTATTGAAGTAAGGATGTCTTGCTGCAGTTATGCAGGGCCTTGGTGAGGCCACACCTTGAGTATTGTGTGCAGTTTTGGTCTCCTAGTCTGAGGAAGGACATTCTTGCTATTGAGGAAGCCCAGCGAAGGTTCACCAGACTGATACCAGGACTGACCTGTGAAGAAAGACTGATTGACTGGCCTTGTACTCACTGGAACCTAGAAGAATGAGGGGGATCTCATGGAAACATATAAAATCCTGATGGGACTGGACAAGGTAGATAATGGAAGAATATTCCTGATGTTGGGGAAATCCAGAACTAGGAGTCACAACCTAAAATTAAGGCGTAAGCCATTCAGAACTGTGATGAGGAAGAATCTCTCCCACAGCAAGCTGTTGGGGCCAATTTGTTCGATATATTCAAGAGGGAACTGGACGTGGCCCTTGCAATTAAAGGGGTACAGGGTTTGTGGAGAGAAAGCAGGAATGGGATACTGAAATTGCATGATCAACCATGATCCTATTGAAGGGTGTGCAGGCTAGAAGGGCTGAATAGCTCACTTCTGCACCTACTTTCGATGTTTCAAATGTGTCATATCCAAATTGTGCTCTGTACCTTCCAACCAAGGAATTAATGCTTTTTAAAAGCAACGGTGGTCGGAGTGCTGAACCTACAGGAATTCCATTGTCACTTGATGGAAGTATACAAAAGCATGCATTCACTACGGATCAGGGATAAGAGAGCAGTTTCCCAGAGTGCAGCTGGAAATGTTCTCCTTACTATAGAGGAGATTTAATCGAGGTGTTGGAAATGATAAATTTTAATCCCATGCATAGGGCAAAACTGTTTCCACTGGCAGAAGAGTTGGAAACGGGAAGATAGGTTTGAAACAATTTGCGAAGAGTCACAGAGAGATGTGAAGATTTATTTTACCCAACGAGCTATGTTCTGGAAATCACTGTCTTAAAGGCAGTCGAAAGAGATTCAATAGTAACCTTCAAAAAGGAACTGAGTATGCATTTTAAAAGAAAGTGTTGAGCTACACTGGGAGAATGAAGGAGGAGGATATGTTGCCATCTGTTTCAAAAGCCAAGTCTCTTTTGAAATGGGGTCTCTTTTGTGTTGTATGAATCCATGAGTCCATGATAGTATAGTCAAGGTCAAGGTATTATAGATTAAACTGGGAGATGAAAACTGGATGAAATGGTTATTGAATTTGCTAAATGTCAAGAATTACATTATGACTGTGGAGTACCTCCATAATGGGAGATTCTCCACAAGCTTGAACTCCGGGTTTGGAAAATGGAACTGTGGCTGGAGTATCTATTGTGCAACCATAGAACATAGAACAGTACAGCACAGTACAGGCCCTTCGGCCCACAATGTTGTGTCGACCTATTATCCTAGTCTAAGATCAAACTACCCTGCATACCCTACATTTTACTATCATCCATGTGCCTATCCAAGAGTCGCTTAAATGTCCCTAATGTACCTGATTCCACTACTACTGCTGACAGCGCATTCCACATGCCCACCACTCTCTGTGTAATGAACCTACCTCTGACATCTTCCCTATAGCTTCCTCCAATCACCTTAAAATTACGCCCCCTCTATTAATAGTCATTTCTGCCCTGGGAAAAAGTCTCTGGCTATCCACTCTATCTATGCCTCTCATCATCTAGTACACCTCTATCAAGTCACCTCTTATCCTTCTTCACTCCAATGAGAAAAGCCTAGCTCCCTCCACCTTTCCGCATAAGTCCTGACGTCCACTCCAGGCAGCATCCTGGTAAATCTCCTCTGCACCCTCTCTAAAGCTTCCACATCTTTCCTATAATGAGGTGACCAGAACTGAACACAATATTGCAAGTGTGTCTAACCAGGGTTTTATAGAGCTGCAGCATAACCTCACGGCTCTTAAACTCAATTCCCCTGCCAATGAAAGCCAACACATCATACGCCTTCTTTACAACCCTAACAACTTGGGTAGCAACTTTGAGGGATCTATGAACGTGGACCCTGAGATCCCTATGTTGCTCCATACTGCCAAGAATCCTGCCATTAACCTTGTATTCTGCAATCAAATTTGACCTTCCAAAATGAATCACTTCACACTTTTCCAGGTTGAATTCCATCTGCCATGTCTTTGCCCAGCTCTGCATCCTGTTAATGCCCTGTTGCAGCCTACAACAGCCTTTCACACTATCCACAACTCCAACAACCTTCGTGTCATCAGCAAACTTACTAACCCACCCTTCCACTTCCTCATCCAAGTCATTGATAAAGATCACAAAGAGCAGAGATCCCAGAACAGATCCCTGCGGAACACCACTGGCCACCGAGCTCCAAGCTGAATACTTTCCATCTACTACCACCCATGTGGACTCTGTAGATTTTTTTCCTTTACTCATTCATGGGATGAGGGGCATTGCTGGCCAGGCAGCATTTATTGCCCATCCCTAATTGCCCAGAGGGCAGTTAAGAATCAACCACAAAGCTGTGGGTCTGGAGTCACATGTAGGCCAGACCAGGTAAGGATGGCAGATTTCCTTCCCCAACAGACATGAGTGAGCCAGAGGGGTTTTTCCAACAATTGACAATGGATTCATGGTCATCATTAGATTCTTAATTCCAGATATTTTATTTAATTCAAATTCTACCATCTGCTGTGGCAGGATTCAAACCTAGGGTCCCCAGAACATTATC